TGAAGAATGGCGTGATGGTCCATGTCGTAATTGCACCTGTCAACCAGGTGGTGCAACGATCTGTAAAGAGCAACAATGTGCGAAATGTAATGAATCTGTACAAATACCTGGACACTGTTGTCCAATTTGCAAAGGTTATTTTTTTTTTTGATATTTAAATATTAATTTACTTCATTTAATGCAATCTAAAAACATTTAACAAATAAAAATTATCCTTATATTTTTAAAAATTGAACGCTTAGAATTTAAAAAAAAAAAATTATTTCATACTATCAGTTATTATATTTTGCGTTATGGTATTTAAATAGAACATTTGCTTATCCATTAAACAAAATAAATCGAAATATCTATAGGATGGTTTAAATTTAACTTATTTTTTTTATTTTAAATTAAATGCATTGAACAGGATTGCAAGATTTTTATATTTTTTTGTTAATTTTTATTGAAATAAACAACAAAAAAAGGAGAGAATCTAATGTAGATGTAGAATGGCGGTCCTTTGGCGAGGGCCAACTTCAAACAGTATTACTGAATGGCAACGATTCACCATCTTTATCATCAAATTCGCAAATGAATACGATGCTTTATGGACTATGCTTAACCGGATTCATCCTCATCGGTGTTATCGTCATCATTCTCATCTATAAATTGATCAAACAAACTAAAACTAATGAAGAAAAGGTTTGTCTTTATTGTGCTTCTGTTTATACGAACATTTTTAAACATAAATTAAATATCAAAAATCAGTCAATTCATAGATAGCACTTATTGTTTGTTTTTTTTTGATCCTTAAATATTTTCATGAAATTATATATTTGTAAAATATCACACTGACATGATGTAATCATTGTTAGCTAATAAATTAAGGTTACTAATTAAATAAGTTAACAATATGAATTTTCTTTAAAAAATTATTGATTTATCGTTAGTTATTTTTCCGATATTTATAAATATATGCTATGTTAAATGTTTTAAGCTATTATAATATTGCTACAACAATAATCTGTTTTTTTT